CTCTCAGAAAAATCTTTGCAATATTTTCAAGCTGAATATATAAATGATATTTTAAGCTGAACAATATGTACATAACCTTTGATTTTCATCATGTCCTTTTGATTGTAGTTTTGTGTCTTACAGTATATCAGTACTGTCATGCTTAGTAACATTGAAGCTGGTTGTTTAAACACTTACCTGTGAGTATCTGGTAAGAAGCCTTAAATAACCAGATAAACAGTGCAGCTGCCAACCTAAAGTAATCTTACACTTAGGGGGTGAGTGGCCCAGGAAACGTGCTCTTTGTCATTTTGACTTGGGTTTGAAAATGGACCTGGGCTGCATTCCAACTCAAAGAGCCGTTCACTTCCAAAGACTCCTAAATTGTCCCAAGGAGCTCATTTTGGCAGTGGATTATTTGTGTTTGGCTGGGCATCCTAATAGCAGAAGCTGTCTGCTCTGGCAAGCCAGGGGCTGTGGCAGCATTTAGAATTACCATCCCCAGTGTTTTCTCTTGATGAGGTGATTTTTCAGAAAAGCAATCCTCCACCTCCCGTTTGAAAAGTGGCACTGCCCAAGTGTTGTGCAGGTGATTTTCCTGAGCTCATCAATAGTTTACTATGGCAAGAGGACCTGTTTTATTGTGTGAGAGAGAAATTTTAAATAAATGATAACCAGGATCAGATTTCTCCCCCAGACCAAAGCTATCTTAATGGTATATTCACTTTTTTCCATACCAGAGGTAAGGAATGGTTGTTGGTTGACTAGGGATAAGTGAGAATGTGGGATTTTAGAGCAAAAACTAAAGAGTGATAAAGAGTTTCTGAAAGGTTTTCTTATAGAGGACACAGAAGGTAGGTACTAAAGAGCTAGTACCTACCTGCACAATTATAAATAAATATGTCTGACAATACACACAACGTGGTTTTGGTTACAATAGGTTAGCGTAGCTAGCAGAGTGCCTGACACTCAGTAGATGCCAAGATGTTATTGAATGAACCGATGAAGGTCTAACATGGAATTAGCTTTATTATATCGAATGGCCCCAAAAGATGATCCACATCAATGAAGGAAAAAAAAATACTTTCTATGTCTATTTATTTTATATCATTTATATATACCGGGTGGACAGAAAGTTTGTGTGTAATTTAAAATAGTTTAACATAGTAAATTGCACATAAACATTATGTCCACCTGTATATGTTAGCATTAGATTATAATATCAATGTTACACATATATAATTTAATACAAATGACTAGACGTATATTGAAGGTGCTTGTTTCAAAATAGTTTTACTGATGGACACTATCATCAAACTTTTGTTTCACATTTCATTGCTTTATAATTATTCTCCTATAGGTATCATTGAAATTAATTTATTTACTTGTAAGTAGACTATGGTAGGTATAATAAGAATAGATTCTACCATGGGAGGAATGGATGAAGAAAACACTAAGTGCTAAGTGCCAGATGTTGTGTCTGGTATCATCCTCACAACAACCCTGTACGGTGGATATGCCCATTTTAAAGATTACAGAACAGAATGAGTTAGGAAGTGTTTCCTGTTCTTTTATTTTCTATAACATATTACAGAGAATTGATATCATTTCTTCCTTAGATAGCGGAATTCATCAGTGAAACCATCTTGACATGTTTAGCAGGTGTAGAGGGTTATTTTTTATTGATGGAATTTTTAAAAAATAGAAGTCAGGCTTTGTGACACATGCCTGTGGTCCTAGCTACTCAGGTGGTTCACTTGAGCCTGAGAGTTTGAGACCAGCCTGGACAACATAGTGAAAACCCTGTCTCTAAAAATTTTACATTCCCATTTAGATTATGGGTATTTCCTTGTGTGAGTTCTGGTAGTTTGTGTCCTTCATGGAATCGTTTCATTTCACCTAAGTGGTCAAATTTGTGGTCATAGAGCTCCTAGTAATACTCCTTTATTTATCTTGTTAATATTCATGGAATCAAAAGCGATGGTCCATCTTTCATCTTTGATGTTAGTAATTTGTTTCTCTTCTTGTTTATCTCAGTTAGCCAGACAAAAGAACCAGCATTTGATTTTGTTGATTTTCTCCACTATTTTCTTATTTTCACTTTTTGTTCATTTCTGCTCTGATTTTATTATTTCTTTGCATCTGCATACTTAGGAATTTGATCTTTATTGTTTCTAGCTCCCCAAATGGAAGCTTAGATTATTGATTTTTAGATCTTTGTTCTTTTGTACTATATATACATTCAATCTATACTTTTTCCTCTAGGCAATGCTTTTGCTGCATCCCACGATTTTGACAGGTTGTATTTTCGTTTTCATTTAGTTCAAAATATTTTCTTCTTTCTCTTGAGACCTCTTTTTAAACCAGTGTGTTATTTAGAAGTATGTTCTTTAATCTCTAAATATTTTAAGATTTTCCAGCATTCTTTTTGTTATTGATTCCTGGCTTAATTCCACTGTGGTCTGAGAACAGTCATTGTATGATTTTAATTCTTTTAAATTAGTTAAGGTATGACTTGTGGTCGAGGATGTGGTTTATCTTGGTGAATGTTTCACATGAGCTTGAGAAGAGTGTGCATTCTACTATTGTTGGATGACGTAGTCTACAGATGTCAATGTTATACAACTGACTGATAGCACTATTCAGTTCAGTTATATTTTTGCTGATTTTCTGCCTGCTGGATCTGCCAGTTACTGATAAAGGAGCACTGAAGTCTTGAACAACAATAGTGAATTTGTCTCTCTCCTTACAGTTCTCTGAGTTTTTGCCTCATATATTTTGATGTTCTGTTGCTAAGCATATGCACATCAAGGTTTGTTATTTCTTCTTAAAAAGACTTACCTCTTTATCATTAATTAATATTTCTCTTTACCCCTGATACTTTCTTTTCCTTATTCTGAAGTCTGTTTTGTCTGAAACTAATATAGCTATTGCAGCTTTCTTTTGATTCTTGTTAACATGGTATATCTTTCTGTATCTCTTTACTTTTACTTTGTGTATACATTTAAAGTGAGTTTCATGTAGACAATGTATAGTTGGGTCTTCTTTTTTTATCAAGTTTTTGTCTTTTATTGGTGTATCTAACCATCCACATTTGTAATGATCATTATTATAGGTGGGATTGATAGCTACTGTATTTGTAACTGTTTTCCCTGCATTGTCCTTGTTCTTTGTTTTTTCTTCCATTCTTTTAGGCTTTTCTCATTTTAATTAAGCATTTAGATAATTCCATTTTCTTTCTAGTCCTAGCATAACAATTATACTTCTTTTAGTGATTTCTCTAGATTTTGGAGTGTACACGTATTACTAACCCAAGTCCATTTTCAAATAGCATTTCACTGTGTCATGGGTTATGCAATTCTCTTATAACAGATTATTCCCAGCTCACCTACCGTTCCTTATAACATTGCTGTCATTCATTTCACTTATCTATAATACAATCACCAGTGAAGATGTTATTATTATTTAGAACAAAACTGTTATCTTTTAGGTCAGTTAAGAAAAATAAAAATGAAATGTTTTATTTATCTTAATTTATTTTCTCTCTTTATTTTTTTTACATAGAGCTAAATTTCTTACATATATGTTTCTTTCTCTCTGAAAACTTCTTTTACCATAACTTGCAAGGCAGGTCTCTGTTTTTGAAAATTAAAAGAAATAATTCTTTTACATATGTTCCATATGTAAAAGTGAAGCTATTATAGGTTAACTATAACAGGTTGCCAGTATGAAATATCACTATTAGATTTTTAATTTTTTTTATTTTTTATTGGTTTTATTAGACACATAGATGTCTAAACTTTATACATGCCAATTTAAGTGATATAAATTATATACTATAGCTGAGATGTCATATGTGACTGTTGCAAAGACTGTCTTGATTTCTGACTACCTCCAGAATTACGATTTGGAACAAAAAGAAGGCAAGATGCCCAGCACCACAGGAAAATGACAATTCATTATGCAGAATTCTATGGCATTCATGCCATCCAAGAGGAAGGATTTTGTTCATGTTAATTAATTTGTCTTTTATCTAAGCATTTTTGTTGCTCAAATTGTCTTTGCACTGAAAAGCAGTGTCTGTCACATTCCACCATCTTTCATGTCACTTGGGCATGACAAACACAGAGCAACAGATGTGGAGCTTTCCCCTGGGGCTTGAATAGCAATAGTTGAAAAAGCAGATATTTAGGGTTAGAGACTTTGCTACATGAGAGTGGAAACCCACGTCCCTGGTGATGTGGATCCCACATGTGCACTTGTTCCTTAACACATTTGCTTTTTGTGTGTTTATAACGTGTGGGCCCTCTAAAGAGCTGGGCCCAGGGCAGAGGTCCTTTTCTCCTAGGTTTTCATATGAGAACCACAATAAAAACTCAGCCAAAATTACCTCCCTTAAGGATAGTTCTTCTTTCCAAGATGAAACACACATGTTTGTATAGTCGGATCATTTATTAACACTATTCACTGTTGATTTAGTCGCTGACCTCTTTAGGGACTTTGCCTGCTCCATATGCAGGAAAAACATTCAGTTCTATCCTCAGTCAAATGGTGCTTTTCTGGTTGTGCAACAAAAAATGATTTCTCCCTTCTTTCTTCTGAATTCCTTTCATTTGAATCAGCTCTGTGGTGCGAACACAGTCTGCCCTCAGTTATAGGTATCTAGATGGATTACCATGAACAAATATTTAAAACAAAAGACCAACCATGTGAGATCCAGGTAAAATATTTAGATTGTGAGCTTCTTGGAGATAGGCAGATGTGCCTGATGGCATTGATCAGCAATGCTGTGGGTGTCATCCCTGGCTGTTAAAACTGCGTCTAAGCAAGCTGCAACATCTCTGACTTCCAGCTGATGAAACTTCTGAAACTTACTGCTAACATTGTTTGGAGATATAACAGGAAATTTGAAGTGCAGTTGAATAACATCTGCTTAACAAGTTAACATAATCTAAATAATAGTGATAATAACACAAGATCAGTAAGATCTCTGTGATAATCTTTGAAATTTTTCCTCGTAGGATTTCCAAACTGTATTACCATCATTTGATCTGTTCTCCAAGTATGGAAAATTATATTCAAAAGCTGGACAAATTATATAAAGGTATGCATTTTTGGAAGAATTACTTCAAAAAATATTTAAATTCCTAGTAGTGTAAAAAATCAAATGAAAGCAATGTTAACTTTGAACATTTAAAAAACCTGCTATAATAATATTTATACATAATGAGATTCCATAAATTTCTTTCATTCTAATGTTCTCTTAATGTTTAAAAATAATAGATTTTGCTTTTCAAATCTCTTCTGAAAAATGGACCAAAAATTTATGGAGAAATAGAAATGGTAAAAATCTGAAGTACTCTTTAATCTTTAATTAATACAATAAATAAATACCTAGTTATTATTTAATACAATAAAAAATACCAATGGTGTTCAAAAGCTAAAATATTTCTCAATATTGTATTGGTACAGTATCATCTAAAATACTATATTCAGTAATGTTCATTATATGAAGTATGAGGAGTCTTAGGAGATACCAAAGAAATACTATCTAGGATCTTAATTATCGAAGTTTACGTGATAAAGGAGAATGAAGATAACCACATAAAATTCAAGATAGCAAAATAAGCTCTTAATGAACGCTGTATTTATTCGCTAAGGTGTTTTAGAATGACAAAGTTGTTACAATCAACGTGAGACTCCTAGAAGGTATTCTGGCATTCTCACCCAAATATAAAGGTGTTGGGTGAAAACAGCAGAGATTGTACAGCTGAAGGGAAGAGGCAGGCATGAGAAATCATCTAGTGAGAATTCCCCAGGTCTCCCCCCACACCGGGAACCAAAGGGCCCCTGCACTGAACCTTTGAAAGAGCACAGGGCAAATTCAAGGGATTTACGTTCCTGAGAACCTAAGTTAGTTTGCGCCTCCTATGCCACACTTCACTCTGAGCGTTTCAGCTTGGAAGTTAATACATTAAATGCAATGTCTACCTTTTAACTACTTCACAGTAGTACATAAGTGGAAATACGAAATATTCTCACCTAACAGAAAAATTTATATCCACTTCAAAGTTTATGAAGTATTATTCTCGGAGCATTTGTCTGGTATTTAAAATGTTTCATATTTTTGAGTGACTTTAGTTTTTAATTGAAAGACATATCAGTACTATTTGTAATGGTGAAAGACTGAAACCGCTTGAGTGCTCACTAATATATGATAAGTTACACAGGTGGTAAAATGCATATAGTGAAATATTATTCAGGCTCTAAAATTGTTAACATAGATCTTTACCTATTGATTTGAAAAAAAAATGCCTATAGGAGATTCCTAAGAAAAGAAGGTTGGATTCAAAACACCTTGTATAGTCTGATTTTATTGAAAAAAAAAAGTGTGAAATGTGTGTGTGTGTATGTGTATACACACAGATGTTTTTATGTATATATGTGTGCATATGTGTATATACGTATACATAGTATATGTGTGCATTTGTATAAAAACATACTAGCACATACTTACATATTAAATGTGTATATGTGCACATTTATATATTGCAGAAATGTTGAGATTTTAAGTCCTTGGGGGGTATACTTCTTTTTATTTCCATTTTTTGTTGTAGACAAAAGCAAAATGTTGAAACAAAAATCCTTCAACGGGGACGATTTACTCTACTCCACCAATTATAAAAAACATGTTGACTTTATTCTATGTAATCATAATGATTTAGAGACAATTATCTTTTTTCCTGAAGACAAAATAATGACTTCCTAAATTATTATGTATAGAAAGACAAGGACGAGTAGCAAATGTTTCACATTATTTTTAATTTGAAATGACGTGCAATGCAAAGACACAAATATGGGGCAGACTTTTTAAAATATGTTTACTGATTCTTCACTTGGATTTTTAACTATTTTGATCATCGATGATATTATCAAAATGTCATCTCTTTTTCGATATGAATGAAACCCTGGTGTTTAATTTTGGTAAGTGAAGGTTAGCAGCCTTAGATGAGGCTCTCCTATGAAGATTTAATTTCACCAAACACAACAAAGTGCTCCTGCTCTTTGTCAAAAAGGCCAGGCTGAGGACACTGGCATCAAACTGTTGAATAAAGATGCTGTGTAATTTCTAGAGCTATCTATTTGATTGCTTCATTCCAGGTAGTTCATCACTTCACTATAATTCACTCGACATTGCCTCTTACACCCAACACTACATTTTCCCATCAGTCCGATTAGAAATAGTGATGCCTTTATCAGATTAATCTTTCTTTCCTTTAGCATTTCTGAGTTTAGGATAAACAGAGACCATACCACCTACCTGGAATCATTAATACACTAAGATTTCAGCCACTGAAATTGCTCAGGGAGAATTAGATTTTTAAACACACACACATTTTCCAGTCTACTCTCGGACTGGGCAAATGTGACTCCTTTAATTTGTCTTGTTAACGGGTCCCTTTCTGTAGCCCCCAGCAGCTTCCCCAAAGCACTCTAGTCTAAGTCAGGAAATGCTGTGTCCTGCGAGGGTGCTGTGCCGTCTGTTAGCTCCATTCATCTCTCTAGACAGAAAAGTCTCTGTAGAGATTACTGTGGAAAAATATTATCAAGATAAGGTGAAATTATTAGTTGTGATTTTAGGGACCGGATAATTGTCCACATTGGTCTGGTATCAGTGTGGGTTTCCTTGCGGTGTGTGCTTCCCAATTTTCTCCAGTTCTCCTTTGCAGTAGGCTGTGGTCCAGGCTGTGTGAGCCCTGATGAGATAAGTTTTAATTATATTACTTGTTAGGCATGAAAGACAATGTACTTTCTCACTTTCTTCATAAGAATTTGGTGTATGAATGACTCAAATATCAGAGAAAAACATGAAAAGCAGGTGTGATCAGTGCCTGGACTGGGAAAGGCGTGAATTGCTCATTACAAAGGAAGTAAGATTTTAGCAACTCTGTAAGGAAAAAGTTATACAAAGGGAGAGTAATCATTAAACACGTGAGCTATGTGTGTGCCTGTTAGGAGTTAAAATTTTCATTTAGTAAGAAAAATCATAAACATTGTCATTCAGTTTTGTGCAAATGGATAACCCTTTTAAGTTTAGTCGTAGTGAATTGGCAAAGAAAAAAATGTATCTTCGGTATGTTTCACTTGGTTAAATTGTCCTTTGACTAAAAATGTCGAAACCACCCCACCCAGCCACGGGAAGGTGTTTGGCTTGGCTTTCCCATGGCAGAG